ACACTGCCATCGGGGGATAACACTGCCATCGGGGGATACCACTGCCATCGGGGGATATCACTGCCATCGAGGGATATCACTGCCATCGGGGGATACCACTGCCATCGGGGATACCACTGCCATCGGGGGATACCACTGCCATCGGGGGATACCACTGCCATCGGGGAATACCACTGCCATCGGGGGATACCACTGCCAAGAAGGGTGCACTTGGTCTGCAACAATGTTACGTAGGTGACCGGTGTCAAAGTAGCATCCATATGAATGCCAGGTTTCCCAGCAGAATATTGCCCAGACCATCACACTGCCTCTGCCGGCTTCCCCATAGTGCATCCTGGTTCCATCTCTTCCCCAGGTAAACGACGCACATGCACCCAGCCGTCCACATGGTGTAACAGCGAACGTGACTCATCAGACCATACTCCCTTCATCCATTGCTCAGTGGTCCAGCTCTGAGGCTCACATACCCATTTTGGCGCTTTTGTAAGTGGACAGGGGTCAGCATGGGCCCTCAGTCCAGTCTGCGGCTACACAGCCCATTGTTCATTGTGTGATCTGACACCTTTGCACCTTCCAGAATGAACATCGTCAGCAATCCCCGTGCCACAGTAGCTCTCCTGTGGGATCAGACCAGACGGGCTGGCTTTCACTCCCCACATACATCAGTGAGCCTTGGGCACCCATGACCCCACGCCGGTTCACCGGTTGTCCTTCCTTGGACCACTTTTGGTCAGTATTGACCACTGTATGCCGGGAACACCTCACAAGACCTGCCACTTTGGAGATACTCTGACCCAGTTGTCTAGCCATCAGAATTTGTCCCTTGTCATTCACATCCTTACTGTAGCCCAGTGACAGGTGCCATTGTAATGAGACAATCAATGTTATTCACTTCACCTCTCAGTGGTTTTAATGTTACGGATGATCGGTGCACATTTACTTTCTAACTGGCGAACCCCAGCCACTTAGTAAAAAGGGCTCCGTGAATTTCCTTTAACTGGCTTAGATTTGAAGGTAACTCTACTGTTTGTGTGGGTGAAGGGACACACTGTAAAATGGGAAGCAAGGACACCACAACTGTGAACAATAATCAGCCAATTCAGGAACCGTAGCGACGCACGTGTGACGAAGACAGGAAACAATGGTGCCACTGGACAGAATATATTATTCAACGCACTGGCAAGTCAGAAAGTCAAGTACATTACGATAGAGAGCAACCTCAAGGCAAAACTTAATTTCTAATTTCACAACTTTTGTGTTTTTTTTTATGTACCAAGCTTTTACATTTCGTTGCATCAAAGGAAATTCAAGTAAAAAAAAATGAAGATTTGTGATTTTAATAACTAATAAAAATGGTATGACACTTGACTGCATTAACCAAGAAAAATACATCTTTCTTTTTCATAAAAATAGTTCATTATTCAACTGTGGGTCCTTCGTACATGCTACTCATCCAATACAGGGTTGAAGTTATTATTTAACTTAATAAATATTTTATTGTTTAGCCAGTTATCTGGAATATATATATATTTTTTTTTCTTTCTTCAAACATTTATTAGTGTGATATGTTTTCTGCCACATAATGACAGCAATGCATGTCATGCAAGCCACTAGTATATTTCTTTTTCTTTAGGATTGTCTTTAAAAAGGGATCCCTGCTAGTGTGCCAGTCAAAGAAGGGTGCCCCCTACTGGGGATAACCATGTAGCGCTCCATTATGTGTGGGAGACGGCTGGGTTTGTCTCCCTTTAGAAGGCCTCTGCATACTGCATAGGGACGGCCGTTGACTGGGCACGCATGCAGGGCTGTGGGCGGCATCGAGCAAACAGCTCTCACTGTCCTCCAGGAATCTGCACTGCTTGATGCAGCCTGTAGGAAAGAAGCCATAAGCTGCCAGCATAAAGCTGGAGGAGCTGTGTGCTTATACTCACCTCTCTGCATATGGCATAATTAGCCAGTTCAGAGACAGTGTTGCGGAGACAACCAGGCCATTATTACAGTGGCTAAATTCATGATTTCAGACAGATTCTCTGGCATGTGACTTCACTTAACATCGAATATGTTAACTCATGCCGACATGAATTATGGCCATTTTGTGTAGTGGAATAATTATCCATGTTGTTCACGCCATTGAATAAAGGGCCATTTTATTCAAATTTTATTGTTAGATTGAATAATTTCCTTATTAGTTGACAAAGCATGTTAACAGAAGATGTAATAATTTAAGTGTACACTATATTATCATGTACGCCATATGCTTAATTTTGTACTGATAAATAAAGTCTGAGGATACTACTGAGACAAACACCCATGTCCCTTACAACAATAAGTGCTTAGATGATGGATGGATATTACAGAGAAATAAACAAACGCAAAGATGCAAGGATACAACAAATAATGTTTTAAATTATTCCAATAGGTCATGTGGTTCTTGGGGGCGTGGCCTGTAGTGAATTCAGATACGGTAAAGACCTGTCTTACATTTTAATTCTACACTAAATGGGAACTACAGCTATTGGGAGTGAGATATGCATACATAAAACATGACCTTCTTTAAATATCCTTCAGTAGCTGGGCTGCTGTGTAATCTGGGCCACTGTGTTTCTGTTATTTTTCTGCCTATAAGTGCTGTATAAGGGAAGTTTATTTATGACGTGGTATACCCTACATGCACTGACACGAAACACAAGATGCATTTTCTTAAGATGATGCCTCAAATAGGACTGTTTTTTTTCCAACTGAAGATGTCTTTTCTCCACAAGAATGACAATAGCAAAGAAAACAACAGCAAAATGCTTAATGTTTCAAATACATTCGTTCCCTATCAGGTGAGTAAACGGATTTTTAAGAAGGTCATTAACTTGAATAGCACTTGTGCAGCATACATCTTAAATCTTAAACGACTGCTGCTGTTTGTCACATAAAGAATTAAAAATGACTGGTCGTTCCATAAATTGCCTTTTACAGCTTCACATTTCCCTTTGACATGAAAAATAAAACATTCTCTTGATGGAGATTTCATTCGTGCCGTTGTAATACTGAACAGCCTGACCTCTATACTCCATTTGAAGTGTTGATTTTCATTTCCTGATATTAATCCCTCCATAAAATTAATCTCAAAAGTAAAACGTTGACTGTATTTTCACTTCCAAAAAGGACAAGTTCATAAAACTATTCAGTGTGCTAAAAACTGTAACTCCACTACTGCTGTACTTTTCATTGCTCCCTGTTATTTGGGGGTTTGGGGGTTCTATTACAATCTTTAATTTAAAATTTGTCTATACAATATGCTATTTTGGCTAAGGATTTGATTTGTATTTGCATTTGAAGTATGTTGCTACGACAGGTGAGTTCTGGTCAGATCAGGCATATCTGCTTAAATATTCTTTGTCATTGAAATGACAGAGAATAATCAATAATGCAATTGTCCATCCATCCATCCATCAGAATCTGTTCTGGTTAGTAACAATCTGTTTGAAGATTTAACACTGTATGTAGCATCTTTGCAAATACTCTGATATTTTGTATGTTTATTTTACTTTTAACTTTATTTTGTATTTATTAATGCACCTTGGGGTTGTCATAAAAGTTATTTTGTTGTGTTACACAATGACAATAAAGTGCTTGAATACTTGAATCAATCTGTACGTCCATCCATCCATCCATCCATCCAATCTTCCACCTGCTTATCCAGAGCAGGGAACTGGGAACTGGGAAGGCCTGAAGCCTGTACCAGGCAGCATGGGCCACAAAGCTGGGGACACCTTGGATGGGCTGCCAGTCCATCACAGGGCTCATACACACACAGTGACCAATTGAAACGTCTATTAGCCGGACCGCATGTCTTAAAATTGCTGGAAGAAACTAGAGAACACAGAGAAAACCCAAATGACACGGAGAGAACATGCAAACTTTGCACACACAATAAAAGTGGCATTCAAACCCCCAACCCTAGACCTGTAAGGCAACAGCTTATTGCACTAAAATCTGCAATTTACTAAATTCAGAAATGGTTCAAGCTTAAAAAAGTATTTAAAAAGCAATAATCACACAATAATGATTTTTACTTTAAGTTTCAAATAAGCCTCTATGGTATTTCTTAATTTTTATTACAGTCCTTACCGAAATTGCCGCAGTGATAAATATTGACCGTAACCTTCAGTAATACAGCGTGGGAACATTATCTTATATTGAAACGTCGATACTTTGAATTGTTATTTCCTACTTCCGTGTAATACAAAAGAAAGCCAAACAAATGAAAATTCAGATCTAAGATATGAATTCTGTTTTTAAAATTATTTGTGAAATACCTGTTAGATTTGGATTCTATATTAGCTACATCATCCCATATTTAAAGTTCGCTGTAAAATGATTACAGACATTGGTGACTGGTAAGAGAAGGCATCAAAATTGACATAATGAAAAACACGTTATAAATAACTTCTTAAACAGATATTATTTAGGTTTTAAAGCCATTAAATAAAACAGGATATTTAATCTGTCTAAAATATATTGCTTAATCCATTGAATTGAACCTGGCCTCTCAGCACCAATAATTTAATCTTTTGCATTTGCCATCGAAGCAAAGCTTATTCTGTCTTCAATCTACAATTGGATGTCACTTTATTATATATTTAAACTATTAAATTGAGTAATGCACATTGGATAACCTGCTGGATTTTTATTCACGTTACTATTGTGTCTTTATTTGGCATTAACGTTCGAATAATAATAATTAAAATTCCAGTTTTTGTAATGCCAGCCGATCGTAAACAATTGTTTGCCTTTGTGTGCTTTTCACCGGCACGCCGACAACCACTTGAGTTCCCCGAGCCCTGATCGCCGCGCTACGCCGAGTGGCACGCCGCTCCCTCCTAGCTCCTTTAAGGAGCTCCAAGTCTCACCTTTCCCCGCCCTTTGATCAAAGGTAGCTCGCCGTCGGTTCCCACTCCTGATTGGACGGCCGGGGACAGGGACCGCGGTCACGTGACAGTGTTTCCCGTCCTAGGTCGCCATTTTGGTGGAAAGTTTGGAATTTCTGATACACTGGTAGAGGGGGAGGAAAAAAAAAGAATAGAGAGGGAACGAAGTTTGACTTAAAGAAAAATAAGCAATTAGTGAGGGAAGCGGAGTGAGTGATAGGGGCGCGTAGAAGTGGAGGAATAAGCTGCGGAGGACACACGTTGAACTTTTACATATGTCACTCTAAGACGGGATTTGTTATTTTTCAGGTTCTTTTGGTCAGGTCGCTTTCTACTTGTGCCACCTTTGCCACCACCGATTCTGTTAGCAGCATTTTCCCATATTTAAATTATGCATGACTCAGTCCTCCTTCGGAGTGGCTGAATACTAAATAATATACTTAGGTGGTAAGCCTTTGCATGATTTTTTTTCTACCTTTCTTTTTTATTTTTATTTTTAATAAAGTTCTGCAGTCATTCAGATCCGTTCGTCGTTGAAAGTCCAGGAGTAACCGTGCGTCCGCTGTCCGGTTCCTGAACCGCGGCCACCGCGGGAGGCGGTTCTCTCCGGCGGCACCGGGGATATAGTCGCCGGAACGCGGATTGGCGCTCCTTCGGGTCAGAGTAAGAGCGGTTTTGGCTTGTCGGCTGGAGGAAGAGAGGGAGGGGGAAAGAGAGAGAGAGAGATAGCCGACGTCGGTTCGCCCAGCCGAACCGAGCCGAGCGAAAGTGTCCCGTCGTCACCAAGGGAAGAGTTTTGCCCTGTGCGAGAACATTTCAACAGGCTAGCGAGCGAGCGCAGCCTTACTAGCTAGTCCGCTAGCTGGCTAGCCTAAACATGCCGGTGCGCAAGAGAGGTGAGTGTCCCCCCCCAACTTGTGTCTAACTATCCGCCGCCGCCTTGCAGCGAGTGACTTTTCCTAACAAATGTGCCGCCGATTAACTCGCCTCTGTGTATGGGGTGGAGGAGGAATAAAAACATGAATACTGGTTAATTAATAAGAGTACGGGGGGGCGGGGGGGGGGTCATGTGTCAGCGCCAGGGATGGCGGGGAGGCGTGAAATCAAGTTTTGGAGCGGCTGGGAAGGGAGCATCCTTAAACGGCGGGGTGTGAGCGTTAACGGCGCGCGGAAACGGTGCTGGCGCGTGAGCGCAGGTCGTGTGTTATAAGGGGAAAGGCTGCAGGGGATGCGCGCGCTGGCAGTAAACACTGCCGTGGTCTTGACGCCTCGCAGATGCAGAACGGGCGCTGGTGCTCCTGGAGGAGTACCGCAGGAAGCTCAGTCAGACCGAGGACCGGCAGCTCCGGCACTCCGTCGACAGGGTCATCGACATCTTCCAGAGCAACCTCTTCCAGGCTCTAATAGGTAAAGTTTTTGCTTCCACTTTCCTCTGGTTTTGGGGCGGGGTTACCCTTCATAGTTGATCATTTTGGCTCTTTTTTACGTTGGTGGTGTCTCCGTCCCTTTAAATGGTCCCCTGCTTGTTCTTTTCAGCACTTATGGACCTTGACTTGTTACATAATACTTTGTGGTTAAAGATATTTGAGAATTGCAATGCACATTTGTCTCTGGTTCTTTCCTTGGGCTACGGTCTGCTTAAGGTAGTATAATGAACAATAAATTATGCAAATTCTTTGAAAAAATAATAAAAATGTGTAACCCTGTTCAAGTTTTTTTGGTGGGATGCCCTTTGACTACACTGTGTGTCAGCCTGTTGGTTTACAATACGGGCCACATAGGAATGTGAGGATCTCTGCTGGTCCTTTTTGACTTTGAATTCACTGCCTTGCATTTACGGACCATAACAACCACCCCAATAAAGGGAGGATTCCTCTTGGAGAGTTGTCTGATGAAAATTTTGGCCAGTTTGATATTTCCTGGGAGAATTTACCCCCCACCTCCCACCCAAGTACTCTGTAAATTCATCCAGAACAGATTATCTAATACAGTTTGAACCACATTCAGATGTGTAAAATGTAGACATCAGATATGAAATTGTAGAGGTGGTGTGTTTCCTTCCTGTGTGTAGTGTTTCTTGACCAATAAAGAATATGGCAGCTGTGGGTAATTCACTCTCATTGATTCCTACTCCCTCTAAGCACCTGAAAGTTGTTCCAATTCTATGGAATATCTAGGAGTTCCGGGCTGGCACTGTTCGCAGAATTACTTGTTTGTCCTGAGTATTGTAAGCTGTCTCTCACTAACACATGCCTCCATATTGACACATTGCAAAAGGGAACCTGAAACCTCCTTAATGTGGAATCACTTGTTTCTGTTATTGTCTGTTCTCTTCTGTTTCAGTCCTATCGTGTTTGTAGCTGATTCAGTGGAACATACAATTGTCAGATGGAGACAACAGCTTTCTGGCAAACAGACCATGCCGAACTAAATGGGATTCATGGCTGTCCAGTAACAAATTTCTGCTTTGTCAAAGCAAAACTACTTCTAATCACCCTCTTTTTGTTTGAACTGCTCTAATTTTACTGTATAGTGCATTTGGCGTGAGAAATGTTGTTACAGACAAAAATTAGTCTTATTTTTAATAATAACGGTAATAACAGTGGTAAAAACTGAAGTAGCCGGTGTATAAATGTGTGTGTGGTAAACATCCCTGTGATTGTTTACTCTTACGGTTACAGTTTAATGATTGAGAGGTATACCACAGTAATATGAGAACATTTGTTAATAGTTGTCTTGTAATTGTTGGTTTTGTGTATGTCCCTGTCAAAGTGTTAACTAAAATCAGGTCATGCTATTTTAATTGAAATGGGAATTTGTTCTTCTTCCAGATATAGTTGCAGTGATTATTATGAGAACCAAAGTACACAGGGGTGTCCGAATCATTGAACAGGATTCTGCCTGGCTTTACTCATGTTCATCGTTTGTCTTTTGGTAGCTTGAAGCTGTAAATTTAATCCTTTCACTTTACAGTGCTGCTCGAAATGGTGGCAGGTGTACCTGGGTCACTTCTTGCCCTCTAACAAGTATATGTTTCCAGGCTGAATGCCAAGTGTTTTAAACACAGCTTTTCTCAAAGCATTTTATTGACTTGATGTGGCAGAAAGTGGTCCCCCCCCCGCCCAGCATAACCGCTGATTGAAATCTGAACCAGTTACCTCTCTCCTACTCCGTGTTCAGATCGATATATCATTGTGGAAGTGTCTCTTTAAACTGTTTACACAAAGCACACTGGTGCTGTGTCTCTTTGTCAGGCAGTATATTTGTTTTGTCATACGACTCTGGAAGTATTTTCATGTAAAGAACTTGATTGAATAAGGTGAAATAGGGAACGTTGCTGAACATTACAGAAAGATTTGCATTTTAACAGAGCTTTGTGATGTGTGACATTGTTCTTGTAAATAAAGGAACAAGTTGAGTGAGATTTTAAGTACACCAGTTAAGTTGCTTGAATGGAATGTGGTAATTGAACTAAAGTAAGAGGAATTTGTAAAACATTTTTAGTAGGGCTGGGTAATATCATATCAATATTATATCGCACATGTGCAGTTTTCTCCAGATGACGGGTGAAACTTGGCCAGATGCCATCTTTTCATTACTGTATGAATGTTTATTTACGGTCACAATTTCTTAAGCAGATTAGTAGCACATCCAAAATATTTATGAGGCATTTTATGATGCCCAAAAGTTAATAATCAGAATAAATTCGGCATCCTTATGTTTTATAACTGTGTCAGACTTTAAACTGTAAAAGTACCCCACACCACCAATATCTCTTTACCTTGTTTATCCACAAGATCTCGTCTTTTAAAAGATATCGTGGCTGTTGAGCTGTTCCTTTCTTCACCGCCATAGTATACCAAAACAGTATTATGTGGTGTGCCCCGCTACAGTGCCCATTGCACCGAAGTATAGAAAACCATAGTATACCAAAACAGTATTATGTGGTGTGCTTCATTACAGTGCATATCGCACTGTAGTGTACCAAATCATAGTATACCAGAACAGTAATATGTGGTGTGCTCTACAAACGAAATTTAATAGATATAAAAATATGCACGTTTATACAGATTACTAACTTTTGGGTGTCACAAGACGCATCTCATTAATATTTTAGATGCACTACTAATCTGCTTAACAAATTGTGGGTATAAATAAACGTAAGTATAGTACTGAAAAGCTGTCATCCGGCCAAATGTTTCGCCTGTCATCTGAAGTCCTGGTGATTATCGCACATGCACAATATAATATCGATGTGATAGCACCCGGCCCTAATTTTTAGTTGGGTAATTTTATAGACAGAAAAAGGACATGCCATGACTCTACAACTTGCATGCGAAATGTGACTCTGATTTATGCATTTTTCTATTTATAAGCAGCTCGAGCCATCAAAAGGAGACATGACCTTAGGAGGTGTTACTGTTGGTGTGCATCTGGCAGGCTGTTGAAATTACCCTGTTGTCTTGGGGATCTCTCTCACGACTAATGGCAGCCTGAACGATAGGAGTGGTGGTCTGTAGTAGATATCAGCTTCAGAGTCAATCTGAAGAGCGATGGCAGACAGTCTGGGTGTCGGTGGGCTCCTGTGGCTTAAAATGTACCTGCTAAACCTTCTGTTTGCAGGATGGTGTAACTAGATTGCTGTACACAAACTTCTGGTTAGACTTGGTTTGTTTTGGACACCAAGAGGACCGAAAAGACAGTTCGATGCGGTTAGAGGTGGTGGTGTCCGAATGGATGTGAGCGTGTGAGTTTCCCTCTGTACTCGGCATGGAGGGCACTGCAGTGATGATGATGGTGGGGGGGTGGTGGTGTTTTTCTGGTGTGAACTTCAGTCCACATGCTTCAGTTGGGAGCTGATTTATTGCAACGCAGTGAGACATTCTGCAGAATCTCATTTGCTGTGTGTTTGTCTCAGCTGACATAAGTATGCACTTCATTGTGTCGAGCACACACCCCCCCCCCCCCCCCACCCCCCCATCGCTTGTTGGAATATGGCTCATGGAAAAAAAAAATTGGACTTGTCTGGCGGTTTTCAATCTCTGCAGCTCAAAGATATGTATGACGAGCAAGAAATGAAATATAATCCATCCGTTGACATGATTACTTGGTTATAAATCCCTCACTGGTGATTGAGTGACTTTTCCCTTCACCGTGGGGATGGCTGGTTGAATCTTTGTTTAGAATGAGAGGCGATGGCTGGCATCCAGCCTCAGGACGGCGATGTTGAGACCCACCGCTGCCTTCGCTGTTCTGTTCACCTCTTTCCACCCGAAGCCTCAGTGTTGCTCAGAACGGCTTGCAACTGGACGCTTCACAAGTGCTCGAGGTAGCAGACTTTCTGCATGAGGCTGCTGAGAGTTTACATTAGGTTTAGAATTCTCTTGAATAATTTCGGCACATTGCAGGCACACAATTATAAGACTGAAAAGAATGGTAACCAAAGAATTTACCCAGGGTTTGGCCTGTCCTTGAAGTTGGGGTCCAACCCCCTCTTTCTGATCATGTTTTCTCTGCTCCATTCTGAACATTTTCACAGAGGTAACGTGCTATGGATGTTTAGGAAGGATCCTTTCAGATGCTCCTGTTCTGATGTTGTTTAGCATTCCTGTCATTTTATATGCAGGTCTACCACTTCTGAGATGCTTGGGTTGAATTTATTGTGCATTAAAGCCTTGTTCAGGTGGGGGAATTTCAGGGGAAAAAAATTCTTCCTGGAAGAATTAATGTTTGAGGAGTTTTTGATTTCTCCAGCTCTTCGGCCCTTATTTAATGTCGTATCAAAAAGAGCCATTAGAAATAGACGTGTGGGTTTTTCCGCATCTTGGAAATTTTAGTTTTGCAATAGGATTTTAAAAAGGGCAGGACTTTAGCAGGTTACGGTAAACGTAGCGTTGGATAAGCTACAGGTTCAGATTACGTCTCACTTGTGGGCTCCCTAATGCTCTTGATAGCTTTCATCTGGAAGTCGCATTATATGTGGGGCTAATACGGCTTCTTGCAC